AATAAGAACAAGATGATTTAGTACTTATGGTTTTATATAATTGCTAAAGGTCTCGTTGATCAAGTAGAGCAAAAGTACCTTGTTTCAGGTCAGTCTTTTTTGAGTTGCGACAGATAGTTCACATTGGCACCGAGCAGGGCTCCTCTAACACCGTCCAAGTGTAGCTAAATAATTATATCGGCCGGGTACAAGTAATTAGATTAAATTACTTCGGATTACCCTTCGACTTTCGTATATTTCCATTAAGCGGTGGTTCTTTTTGTTGTGTGTATTTAAATAAAGTACTTCTTACTCAGTAGAAATGTATTTTCAATTATAACCAGTATGCTTTTAAATTATTCAATAGATAATACAGTTACCATTTATTTGCTCTCTGCTTAATATAAGAAATATTATCACTTACTATTATTATCACGTGATCGGATGATTCACAAAATGCAGCAGTTGAAAATTAAGAGCTGTGTGCCTTCTCAGGCAGTTGAACGTAAAAGAACGAGATCTGTACCAGATCTGTACAATCTTTCGCAGAGTCAAATTTTGGTCTGTACCAAAGGGTTGTCAGGGGTAGTCATCGAGCAATAAGACAAAAGAGGGAATGTAAAGGTAGAAGGGGTAAACATATTGATAGACAGGAAGTGCCATCTTGAGAGGCCACTTTAGACAAGGATAGAGAGTCTCTCTCCTTGTTTGACATCAAATTTAGTTGGGTTATGTTATTGTTTGTCCCAAATGTCACATGAAATCTTATTTATATTGAAGTTTTTTAACAATTGTGTCGCATTTTAGACTCTTATCATTAATAATTAATTAAAACTTTCTCGTCTAAGACACATTTTGAAAAATATTATATAGCTACTGTTGATAAGTGTCGAAAAATTTAAATTTGGCGCCTTTGCATTTCCGGATGTGTCCGCCATCAGAGGCCACTTTTTTGGTCTCCTTTTTATAACGATTAGATTCCCTCTTTTGTCTTATTGCTCGATGGGGGTAGTACACGGGAGCGCTGTTGCCATTTTGGATCAAATCCGAACACGCATAGAAAAAAGAAAATGGAAGTCACATTGTGAGGTGCCACTAGATTTGCTGAGAGTTATTGTATCAGCAAGGCTAGAACATCCTTATTTGGCATCTATAAAAAAAATTAAGATTTTTTTTTATTTTAACTCAGCAGCTGAAAACACGATTACTACCAACAATGTGCAAATTTCTAGAGTGCAATGTATTAAAGTTGAAATATCCAAACCCGGAAAGGTTATGACCAAAACAACTCTGAATGATATAGAGCAGGGTCACCAATTATATTCCTTGAGGGTTCGTCTCGAAAACCTACTACAGGTCTGTGGTCCGGACATTCAGCACTAAACCAGGCAGTGGCGTAACCCGGGGGGAGGGGGTTACCCAGAAAACCTCCAGTAGTTGTAATCCCCCTCAGGAGATCAAATTTGTTACTTAGTTGAAACCAGCCAACTAGGTCACTTCGTTTAGGAAGGGGTTTACATTACATTAGTTTAATTAAATTCAAAATTAATGACTACAATAGGTCTAAAAATAAAGGTAAAACTCCTTAAAAAATCAAACTATTAGTGAGAAAAATGACACTTATATATAAATATATATATATATATATATATATATATATAAATATATATATATATATATATATATATATTTATATATATATATATATATATATATATATATATATATACATATTTATATATTTTATACAACCTATCTGAAATTCTGAGTGAGGTTAGTTCAACTGATTTTCATTGGGGAGCCGAAATGTTCATCTGTCGACCGAGGTCTGTACCGATTTTTAATAAAGTTCATTTTTGGAAAAGCGGCTTCGAACACATAAGTTAAGCCAAAAATAGTACACAGTTTCGTTGCCAAAGATTTTGGTTCTGGATATTTTTTGTCACACTCATATTTATTCCAAAATTTGTCCCAGGCAAGCATTTCTGGAACTTTAGTATAAATCTCTCTTAAAACGAAATCTTCCTGATACTCGATCATTTTCAGCTAAAGGGCAGCTTTGTTACTCTTAAAAACGTCTGCTGCTTCGCTGGTCCATCTTGAGTGAAAAACTGTTGCTTAACAGTTGCACAATATTTTATGTTGACAGCTTCCCTATTGTGTTTGCTAAAAGATTATTTTTAGGTTTACTACCTAAAATTTTGGAAAACCGTTTAGTCGAACTTTCATGTTGTTTAAATTACGAGTATTTCTATTAAGTATTAGTACTGTGCATTTTAAAAATGTAAAGATATTTATATATTTCGATTTAATTATAATTTTACACTTTAAATTTTTTACTATATTTTGAATTTATTGGCGGTCCGCAAAAAACAAGCTCACGGTCCGAATGCGGACCGCGGTCCGCCATTTGATGACCCCTGATATAGAAAAATGGAAGGAAATTACAGTATTCAAGAAAAACATTAAAATGGAAAACTCTAGTTCGTATTTGAATTCACTCGAATGTAAAAGCAGATTGACTGCAGACAAGAAGAGGATTTGAGAGGTGTTTTAAACTACTTAAAAGATGAAAATTAAGAATTGTATAAGAACTTGGTATAGTAAAACATTTTAATGTTTTAACATACTTTTGTGAATAGCTATTAATTTTCATCATAATCATCATTGATCCACATGATGGATCTTGGCCTGCTCAGAAATAAGTCTCCATTCTCTCCTATTCTTCGCCTTGGCTTTCCAGTTTCGTACTCCCAACATTCTTAATTCTTTCTCCACCTGATCCTTAAATCATGCCCTGGGTATGCCTCTTCTTCTCACTCCTTCTATTCTTTGGTTATAAATATGTTTTCGCGGCTCCATCTCATTCATTCGCTCTATGAGACCTAACCACCGTAGCCTATTTATTTTGATGGACATAATAATATCAGGTTTGATGTACAGGCGGTAAAGTTCGAAATTATAGCGTCTAAGCCATAATCTGCCATCCTTTACTCCTCCATAGATATGCCGGAGGATTTTACGTTCAAAGCATCTTAAACGTTCTTCATCGTTCTTTGTCATCGTCCGTTTCCGACGCGTAGGTGAGGATGGGCTTGATAAGAGTTCTGTATATCACTAGTTTCGTTTTTTTTTGTAACTAGGCTTGTTGTTAGAAACTTTCTTAATCCATAATAGGCTCTCTTTTCCAGATATATCCGTCTATTAATTTCTGCACTAACTGCATTATTCTGATTAATTTTTGAGCTTCTTCTTCTTCTTTAAGTTCCATCTTCTATCGAAGGTTGGAAATCATCATGGCTATGCGGACTCTGTTGACTGCCGCTCTAAAAAGTTCTTTTTGAGCATAGGTATATAAACTCTCTTACTTCTTCGAAAGTATATGTTCCGATCGTTAGATCTTCGGGTTGTGCTGCTTGTATATAATTTGATATTTTCATATACTTTGTCCTACTAGTGTTAACCTCTAGTCCCATTCTTTTTGTTGCTGCTTCAAGCGCTTTGAATGATTCGATCGAACGTCCACCTTTCTTGATGCAATAATGTCGATGTCATCTGCGGACGCTAGTAGTTGTACGCTGCGATTAATAATAGTTCCTCTCTCGTTGGTATTCCAGATTCTCTTATCTCTTTCTCTAATGAAATATTGAATAGAAGGCATGATAGGCTGTGTCCTTATCTGGGCAAGTCCTATCTGAGACTGGAACGTTCTGGAAACTCCATTCTGTACTCTAACTTTACACTCGACTCTTTATTTTACCAAGTATACTGGGATGCTGAATTTTATCATGGCCTTGTACAGTGCGTTTCTTTCAACACTATCATAGGCACATCTAAAATCAACAAACAGGTGATGAGTATCAATGCCATACTCATATGTTTTTCCAGAGCTTGCCTTAGAAGGAATATTTGATCGGTCGTTGATCTTTCTTTACGAAACCCATACTGATATTTACCTATTATGTCTTCACAATATCCCGATAGTCGGTCGTAATGAATAGATGCCAATATTTTGTATTTTACGTTTAGGAGGGTTATTCCTCTGTAGTTGTCACATATTGTTTGATCTCCTTTCTTGTGGATAGGTACAATTATACCTACATTCCAGTATTCTGGCAACTTTCTTTGCTTCCAGATCAGTTCTACCATTCTACATATACAGTACGTCAGTTTTTGCATGCTTTAAAACTTCTAAAGAAATGCTATCTGCCCTAGGAGCCTTGTTTTCTTTTAATTTCTGTATAGCTTGGATGACTTCTACCTCTGTTAGGATGTTATCTTTCTCTCTTTCATCGTCAATGTGCTCGAGTTGGATTTCTGATTTGTGGAGCCCTGTCTTACCTCTGATATTTAGCCTTTCCTCGAAGTTTTCTGCCCACCTTTCTAGTATCTGGTCCTGATCACCAATGATCTCCCCTGTTTTATTTCTAACGATTGATAATCTAGGTTTGAATTCTTCCCTATTCTGGGTAATCCTCTTGTAGAATTTTTGCGTTTCTGCTTATGACTTATAGTTCTCTAATTCTTTTAGTTGGCTCTCTATATGCTCTTTCTTCTTTTCGTCTCAGCTGCCTATACTCTTTATCTGTTTGTCTGGTCCTTCGCCCTTGGAGTCTTCTATATGCCTGATTTTTTCTTTGCGTTGCTTGTAATACCTCCGTGAAATGTAATGTTTTAACATAATTTAACTGAATAACTGGGAATAAGCCACAATTAAAGATTAAAGTACGTTTATTGACGTTTCAATTTCCACTTCGGAAATCGTTCTCAAAATGCAAACAGTAAATTAACAATTGTTATTCCCAAATTGGCATGTGGATGGATCCACTGTGGACTAAAATCACCTATTAATACTTATATACTTTCACTTGTCCATTTTTAGTAAAAATAAGAATTCGATATAGTATTGTTTTATTGAAACCACAGAAAACTTTAAATAACTGACATTAAAACCAAAAGCTAGTGCAGAATACAATTATATACTCTCTATTACACAACAGTTTTGCTACAGATAACCCAATCTAGTTAATAAGCATGCTAGAGTTATCTTGTTTGGTAAAATGCTGAATAAGTTCCTTATCAAACCCAAGGCAAATTATTAGATACGACGTAATAGCTCCCATCAGCTTAAAAATCAAAGAAGAATCAATCGTAAAGAAACCACCGGCGGATAAGTACACCGGTTCGTGAATATACCTTTCGAACACGACAATATCCTCGTAAAGCTCCTCATGCTCGGGAAAATAGGACTGAAGAGGAAGGTGTAGAAATAATTCGAAACTTTCCAGGGCTGAGTTTTTTAGTTCTTGCGTCACCTTGGTACAGGCTGATATTATCATCAAAGTACAAATCTACAAAAAAAAATAAATTATTGGAGTTAAAATTAGAATAACAATATTTAGTAAAATAAAATGTTATCATTTCAATAATTAATCCATTTTTTAAAGAGGTGACTTTGCAATGCGTAAAAAAATACTAGTAAAAAATAATAAACAATAATAATTCGATCAATTTGCGCTCTATATAGCAGCATAAGTATAATAAAAGTAATAATAAAAGAAATAATAAATAAGTATAATAAATAATAAATAATAAATAATATAATAAAATAATAATAAAAGAAATAATAAATGAGTATAATAAAAATAATATTCCGTTTATTGACCATAAACATGAATAAATATAAATAAATGTAAAGTATAATTAAATACAGTTTTTAAAACATACAAAGTCAGAGCATGTGGTACGTAGGCCATCTAGTTTAAAATTAAAATAACACATATTGATATCACAAAATTTTCATCATCAGGATTACATACACAAAAATAAAAAATAGCAAAAATTAGTCATGGTCAAAATAATTGCTAATAATCATCTCTTGAACTTCCGTTTAAAGGAGTTGACACTGACAAACGGTTAACATGGACCAAACATATATGCACAAAAAAAATACAACTAGAAATAATATACACAAAACTTAACTTGAGGCTGAAAAAACTCAGAGCTTTCGATCGACAACAAGCTACTGATATACAAAGTAATATTAAAATTTGAGCATATGGTTCGCAGCTCTGGGGTTCAGCTAGCAGATCTACCGCTATGAAAATACAAAGATTTCAATCTAAAACTCAAGAACAATCGCTAATGCCGCTTGGTGTATCCAGAATGACGACTTACATACAGATTGAATAACTACAGAATACTGAATAACGGCAACAATAGATGCAACAATTTCTGCACTCAAAGACATTTTGAAATTGCCAATAATTGACACAATTACGATAATAATAAACACTTTTGACATTAATGAACAGAAATGACATAGTAAAAACAATTAAAAGTTGCACAGTAGTAACTTGCACAGTAGTTCTTACAGATAGTAAGTGTAAGATGGTAACTTCAACATTATTGATTTTTTTTTACACTATCTGCAAAAACTCAATTAAAATGACATTTCTTGTTAAAAGCTATCTGCAGAAATTTCTGCTAAATCGTGTTTATTATTTGCCAAATTTGTAAAAAGAACAACAAAAAAATCAAAAGATCAGGGCATTTTCGCCAGAAATTATAAGGGAGCTCGTTTTTCGTACCGGTGAGTGTAGTTACACACTGTCTACATAGTTTACATAACAAAATTAAATAAACAAAATATAAAAATTTGGTATTTCTTATAATAACGTTAAAATAACCGTTAAATATTAAAAAAACTTACCACGTGTACTCCTGATAAGTAACTGTTTAATGCAATCACGAGTACCCTCCCTCTTTTAAACATAATGCCAAAAATAAATTCCGCAAGTAGATTTTTTATTATACTGGTCATAAAATATCCAAAAAACAACATTAAAGTGAATCCATAGACTTTGTTTACCAACTTCACTAAATCAAGAACTTTATCGAAATCCTGGAATATTTCTGTGATACTATTAGGAAAACGATATAATCTTTTTTTCATATTGTAGTGAATGATTTGGTTCTTTAATTTTCGTATTTTATATTTCAGTTTAATGCAACACGTCCAAATGTACCTCATAACAGCATCATGAAGCATGAGGGAGAGGATCATAATTTCAAGTCTCAAATAACTTGACAAATAAGTAGCAAATAGAAATATGAGTTTTTTTTTCTGACTTAGATGGTACACCAATGAAAAAATGCAAGCTATCTGCAGGAAAGCAAGGTAAATAGGAAATTTGGGATCTTTCTGAATACAGAGATCTTTACATAACTGTTTTAAACATGTATGTAGTTGAATAACGTGTTTTTTGTTATGGAAAGAAGCAAAGTAGATGCACGAAACAAGACAACAACAGTGAATGATCTCGAGACAATAGGTAATATAAATGGAGTAGGACAAACGTGGACGGCTATCCTCGAAATATAAATACTCAACGAAATTCAGACAGCAAGAAGTTATAAGACTCATGATATAAGCAGCTGCAATTATATCGTGAGATATACAATCTTCAATGCAGTAAATTTTAAAGAATTTGGAAATGTCTAGCAGCCACTTGTAAAACATTTTAACTATAATAGTTGATGATAAAAATGTGTTTTCTTTTTTCGAAACGGTTTGTTATTTCTGGTAAACATAATATTTACCGTTACAGGTTAGAAATAAAGGGCATTGTAAATCCAAGAACTAAAATACCTTCAATAAGTTCAGGGTGGTTTTAAACAAAAAACTTTTTATGATTTATTTAAGCCGAACTGTATTTTTACTTGAACTTTTTTTATTTACAAAAAATCCGCTTTAACCTAATAAGGTTATTAGCGGAACGCTAACAATTAATTACACTTTACTACTTATTAAATTAGAATCTTTTAAAAACAAAATTAGTTTATCAATTTATCAGTTTATTAGTTTATCAATATTGTTATTTGAGTTTAAAATGTCTTTGGGACTGTTTGGTAAATGGTATTTAATTCTATGGACTTTCGCACTTTTCCACTAGCACATGTTTTACTGTAAGGGGTGCACCGCACTGATCACAAATTGGGCGTTCTTTTTTTTTAAACACATGTACATGGGAAAACTGGGTATGTCCAAGTCGTAAACGGGAAATGATCATTTGCTTTCGTCTAGATACATCGGGTGGTTGCCATGATCCAATTTTATTTTTTATTTCCTGAAGCTTTTTTTTTTATTTACAATTTGCTTCAACCACAAAAGGGTTATTAGCAATGAACAGTATTGATATCAAATTGCAAAGCTTATATTAAATTTGGTTAATGAGTCCTATAGTACGTAAAAAATTGAGAGTCTTAGATGAATTATGTTCACTTAAACAATCTTTAAATGTAGTTGGTAACTGTTGATGTTGTCGTTCTATAACGTAGAGGGGACAGTCTATTATTATATGTTGCACTGTTAGTTCACTATCACACACATAACACATTGGAGGGGCTTCCTTCTTTAATATAAAGTCATGGGTGATCTTCGTATGACCAAGTCGTAATCTGGACTTGAGCACTTGGTCTCTTCTCTTAGTAGGATGTTTCGACGGCAATACATTTTGTTTGATTTTTCTTAATGTAGAGTTTGATTTATTCCAATTTGTTTGCCATTTTGTCATGATCTTGTTCTTAAAATATTGCTTTAGATCAGTATGAACGCAAGTAGTTATGATGTCTGTTAATGGATGCTCACTCGCATTTTTTGCTAATATGTCAGCTTTATCGTTACCAGTTATCTCGCAATGTGAAGGTACCCAGAGGAACTGAAATAATCTTTGATTTTGTTGGCATATCAAGAGTTCCGACTTAATTAAAAGCAGGACAGGATGTTTGGGGTATATTTGCTTTAAGGCTGTTAATGCACTTAGGGAGTCGCTAATGATTATTGAGAATTTAATGTCATGTGTGTTAACAAATTTTAATGACTGGAGGATAGCAAAGAGTTCAGCTGAAAATATGGAAGTTTGGGGAGGGAGCTGGTAGGAACTGTTATAGTTATCTGTTGTGAAAGCCGCTCCTACTCCATTTGCAGATCTGGATGCATCGGTATAAATAAGAATGTGATTATTAAAATAATTTAATATCTCTAATAATTTCTGATTGAAGATTTTTGCTGGTGTGACACATTTCTTGAATGCAGATAGGTTTGTATTACAATCAGGGAGAACAATTGTCCATGGTAGCATGCTTTGACTGACTTTAAAAATATTGTAAGTGGGTGGAATTATTGTGTCTAAGCTTTGTAGCGTTGCTCTAATTCGATGATAAAACGGAGGATCCAATCTTTTTCCCCTATTAAATGTCGATGGAAATCTATCTGTAAATGTGTTTTTATAAACAGGTAGCTGTGGGTTAGTTGATACTCTAGAGGCATACATGAGGCTAAGGTATTCTCTCCTAAGTTGAAGGGATGGTTCGCCTGATTCAACATACATACCTTCAACTGAGCTTGTGTAGTGTGCTCCCAGTGCAATTCTAATTGCTGACTTATGAACCGTATCTAGCACTTTTAATAGTGAACCTTTGGCTGAGTTGTAGGCAACAGCAGCATAATCTAGTTTTGAACGGATTAGGGTTTTGTATATAGTCAAAAAGAGTTTGGAAATCGGCACCCCATTGTTTACGAGAGATACTTTTCATTAAGTTAAGGCCGTTTTGAACTGACAGACGGAGGGAGTGGATGTGGTCTTGCCAAGATAGTCGGTTATCCAGTTTTACTCCCAAGAAGTTAATCGATTCTGAATACTTTATTGGTAAATTTTTTAGGTAGTTTCGGTGGATTTATGTATTTCTTTGGAGTTTTACTGAAAACCATTGCTTTCGTTTTAGTGGGTGAAAATTCTAGGCCAGTAGTATTAGACCAGTTCTCTAATTTGTAAATGGCTTGCTGTATATGGGTCGTCATTGTTGATATATTTTTACCATGACAGAATATAACAAGATCATCAGCAAATAGACGGGGTTTGACTAATGGGCTAAGTGACTTAGCGATGTCATTGATGGCAATAAGGAAAAGTACAACACTAAGAGTAGACCCTTGAGGAATACCATTTAATTGGATTTTGGAGTCTGAAAGGAAGTTGTCTATTCGAACTTTGAAGTTTCGCCTATATAAAAAATTATTAATAAATTTGATAATATTTCCTTTAATCGACCAACTTGACAGAATTTTTATGATATCTGATCTCCAAATTGTATCATATGCACGCGTTATATCAAAAAATACAGCCAGACATACTTGACCACATCCAAATGACTCATGAATTACGGATTCAATATCCACTATGTTGTCTAATGTAGATCTGGACTTTCTAAATCCACTTTGTATAGGGCTAAGTAGCTGTCGATTTTCTAGGTACCACGTTAGTCGGTTGCTTACCATTTTTTCAAGTACTTTACACATAGTAGAAGTTAGAGAGATTGGTCGGTAAGACTCTGGGTCCGATTTATTCTTGCCTTGTTTAAGAACTGGTACAATAATGGAATCATACCAATCAATTGGGAAAACATTATTTGTCCAAATGAAATTATAGAGAGCCAAAAGATATTGTTTGCCTTCCGTTGGCATAGCTTTTAAAAATGTCGTAGGTATGTTGTCAGGCCCTGGGCTAGTGTCTTTAACTTTGTTTAGCGTTTCTAACAGTTCATCCATCGTAAATGTAACATTTAGAGGTAAATTATTGTGGTCATCAAGATTTATACAGGCATTATTAACTTTATTTTTATGGACTAGGAAAATTGTAGATAGATTTTCGTCACTGCTATGTTGTTGGTATACGTTTGCTAGTACGGAGGCTATTTCTTGCTTAGTTGAATAAATATGGTTATCATGTTCTAGGTAATGAATGGTGTTAAATGATTTTTTCCCGTACATTCTGCTTATCATTTGCCAAACCTCAGAAGTCGAGGTAGATGAATTTAAAGATGATACATAGTTTTTCCAAGCTTCTTTCTTACTCTTTTTTAAGGTGTATCTACAGTACGCCCTTAATCTTTTGAATTCAAGCTGGTTATTTAAAGTTGGGTGCCTTCTAAATATATAAAATGCCTTTTTTGAATCTTTAATGGCTGCCTCGCAATGAGAATTCCACCACGGGACTGGGGCACGTTTTTTTGGAAATTTTGAATAACCTATGGACTCGTGAGCTATTGACGTTAAAAACTGTACGAAATGGAGTACTTTGGAGTTGATATCAATATCTGTATCGAAGGGCTGAACCAACTGAGAAATTTTTTGTGAAATTAAAGAGGAATAAAGAGACCAATCTGCATTTTTCAAACACCATTTATTGGATGGAACTGATGAGGAGATATGGTTATTGTTTATAATTAGGATAGGAAAATGATCACTTCCATGCAAATGAGATGTTACATCCCACGACAGAGTTGGTTGTAAGACAGAGTCACAAAGGGATAAATCTATTGGTGACCCATTTCCGGTGGAAATATTGAACCTTGTGATTCTTCCATCGTTAAGGATATTCATATTAGAATCGGTAACAATTTGTTCGATTTTACGTCCCAAGGAATCTGTTTTTTTGCCTCCCCAAAGTATGAACCACACGGTTCTGGAATTTGATTAAAGAGATCAGTTATTTCATTTATGGACGGGTCTAAGTCCGGAGGAAAATAAATATTACATATATTAACTTTGTGGGGGCCTTTTATAGATACTGCTGTTGCCTCCAACTCAGTTCTTAAACGTATTACTTCGGTATTAAATGAGTTATGGACATATATTACTACTCCCCCACTAGCATGGCTAGCAGTTATTCTGTTCTTATAATACGGAGTATAGTTTCTTAAATTATGACAGTT